AAAAAAAAAAAAAAAAAAAAAAAAAAAAGTCACCAGCTCTATATAGATAATTCTATCAGAAAAGCAGAGTCACAAAAGAGAATGAGAACCTCCCTTGAGAGGGAGGAGCTGTCTCCATGCTGTGTCTGAGAAAAAACCTTTTCTTCTGTCTTATGAAACTTGCGGAACTAAGGCACGGAACCAATGTGGCTAAAATTAAGACTCTTGAAAGGAGAATGGCACATCTGTAAACTCATGCCCACCTGGGATTTCCAGCTTCTTCTCAGTACTCGTCTTCTTTGAAATAAAAAACAGCCCTTATTTCATTAACAATTTAAAACACTTTCATAAGAACTCTCTCTCTCTCTCTCTCTCTCTCTCTCTCTGTGTGTGTATCTCTCTCTCACCACCCATACACATATACATAGACGTACGCAAATCAAAATAGTGAAAAGTTGTATAAAACTAACTCAATCATTTTGTGAGTTTGTAGAAACAGATTTTATTTAACACACCTTAAAAGAAGAAGTCATTCTACCATGACAGTACCTAGGATTTTCTGCCAATTCTTCTGTGATATTAGGTAAAAAATAGTTATTTTATTTACTCTGGGGGACATAATCACAGATGTACAAAAAGATTTATTTCTATGAATATTCACAGCAGTACAGTTTGTAATAGAGAAAATAGGAAGCAATCTAAGAAAAAGGACAAGATAAAAATATGCTATGTGATAAAAGTTGTCCCTAATAAAAATTCTATCAAGGATTATTTAACAACAGGAATAAGTTTATGATACAACTGAAAAAAATTCAAGTTACAAAATTGTCAATTTAGTAGGTTCCCATTCTAGTAAAATAAAAAATATACAGAGCTATGTGGTAGAAATTAAAGACATAGGCTTGAATGAATGAGAATAGACTAGACATATATATATATATATATATATATATATATATATATATATATACACACATGTGTGTGTGTGTATATATATATACCAAAAATGTTGAGTGGTTATTTTCAACTTGTGGGTTATGTATAACTTACTAAAGAGATATAAATATATAATATTACTAACATTTAATAATACAGTATATGTAATACATATTCTGATATTTCTACATTAAAATGTATTGTTTTATAGGTTTAAATCATGTATATACATTAAATTCAAGTAGAGAAATGAACTGATGAAGATTGCAGACTGAGAACATGTATCTATTTTCCTTCTCTACAACATATAAATTCAATAAAAGAAAAGATTGTTTTTAAGATAATGAATGTATTAGAGCACCAGAAATTGATAAATGGTGCAATTACATAAGAAAAAATTTGGGGGGTTTCTCAAAGATAAAAGTTAACCTGGAATTAAATGAACAGAGATATCACGGCAGAGAAAACAGGGCCCAAAGTAGGTTTGGAAAAGACAACTTCAAATAGAAAACTCATTTTCCAAAACTAATTACTTTCCAAAATTTAAGAAACCACCAACTCAAAATTCAAAGAGCAGAAGAAGGTCCTGGGACAAAGATAATGTTAATAAGTTAAAACCTAATTTGGAACTGAGATAACTGGGACTTTCCCAGTTGCTACTTCTACTGAGCAAAAGGAAGTTTTGCTTTTGCCCTAAGAATAAAACTAGACTATTTAAAAAAAAAATTAGCTAATACTGGGACTAGATAAGGCAACAGAATGGAACCTGATGTACTTGCCACACTTTCCAAAGATAGCAGAGAAAGAAAAACTTGTAAGAGAAAGGCTAACTCCAGCATTTTTTTTCTAAGGTTTCAATTCGTAGAGTTGGCTGTCTACTGTGTAGGTCTTTTGACAAGGAGGTTCATAGAAGAAAATACTATTAACTGACAGTGATTTTCACTTGAACACTTAAAGGCCATTGTAGGCTTATTAATTGGCCTAATTTCAATGGTGTTTTGTCTCATGGAATAGGGAGGTCCAAGTAAAGGGAGACAGATGGGTGAATAACCAGCCAGTGGAGCAGTCAGAATACACAAAACATCTATTGTTCACTGTCTTGTATGGGTGCAGTCCTTGGCACCCAAAACAATCACAATGGTAACACCAAAGATCATTTGTCACAGATAACCACAACTGACAGAGAAAGGGGGTAGAGACAGACAGAGGTAGAGGAAGCAGCAGAAAAGCTGTGGAAGCTCAATGGGTCCCCGAGCAGCCACTCTTCCCTGGCACCAAAGGGATCCATCAGGAGGATGGCCAGAGGAGCAGGAGGTAAAACTCCATAGGGAGAACGAATTATCTAGCAGAACTTTGTCACAATTTGAACAGGGCAAGAAGCCTCCTGGCCAGAATTCAGGGGAGGGCATGAATCCTGGAAAAATCATGGAACCAACCCAAATGCCCATCAGTCAACAAGTGAATAAAGAAACTGTGAGATATACATATATCATGGCCATAAAAAGGAATGAATTAACAGCATTTGCAGTGACCTGGATGAGATTGGAGACTATTATTCTAAGTGAAATAGCTCAGGAATGGAAAACCAAACACTTTGTGTTCTCACTGATATGTGGGAGGTAAGCTGTGAGGAGACAAAGACATAAGAATAATGCAAAGGACTTTGGGGACTTGGGGATAAGACTGGGACAGGGACAAGGGATAGAAGACTACAAATATGGTGCAGTATATTCTGCTTGGATGATGGGTGCACCAAAATCTCACAAATCACCAGTAAAAAACTTACTCATGTAACCAAATACGACCTATACTTCAATAACTTATGGAAAAATTAAAAATAGTAATAGTAAAAAAAACTAAAAGACAACATAAAAAAAGAAAATGAATACCCATGATTTTATTAACAAACTTCTCAGGAATATTAATAACAACTAACAACTACTGAACATTGACTACATGCCAATATTCTTAGTGCCCTGCATATATTAACACACTACATGTGTGCATGCGTGCGTGCATGCGTGCGTGCATGCACATGCGCACGCGCGCACACTCACACACACA